GCCCCGGCTGGATTCGAACCCGCCACCTTAGGTGTATGTGGCTGGCGCCTTAGCCGGTTGAGCTATAGGCGCTGAGCCAATCTATAGCTTTCAAGATATTAAATATTCAATTCTTCTGTAAGAATGTAGAGTGAGAACATGGCAATTTTTTAATAGCTTGTTAATGAAGGAATCAGCAGAATGAGAAAGCTAGTTCAAAGGATATGAAAAAAATGATATAGGTATATACCTTTAGAGAGAGAGAGAAGAGAAAAAATGTGTAAAAACCACAACAAGAATTCTGGAATACTGGTAAGATTGTTAGATAAAAAACTGGTCAACGTTTTATTGGCAATAACATCCTCACTTTGGGGTTACCTTCTCTATTGGAAAAAAAAAATCATTTGCACTTCTATCAGACAAAAATAACGTGCCAGTTACCAGTTTTCTACCAGTTAACAGCAATTAACATCTTTACTTAGTCTGGGCCCTAATCAATAGTAAATAATAAGTCAAGCCAAGTGACATTCCCCTAGAGACCCCGGGGAGGGCTTGTTAGATACAGCTCTAATTTGACTTTGAAAGGACACCACTTATCTCTATGCCTTATTTCCAAGTGTTAGATGATTTTACTTATCAGGCTGTTGCAAGAGTAGAAACACTTCCCAGGAAATAAAGGACGTCAATAGGGATGCACATATCATTATCGAGAGAAGCGAAAGAGTCAGCAATAGCCCTGTCAATGTCACAGTGGGGACACCTTTGGTCAGATGGGGTGGGCGTATTCTTTCTCCAGAGCTCAGATTCCTAGAGGGGAGGTGGGCAATACAGGGATCAGAGGAAACCCCTAGTAAGGCTCCCAGAGTCATGAGCCCCAAGGTTCAGTATCAGAGTGGGGTCGAGGGTGTTCAGAAAGAATCAAAAAAATAATTTTTCATGACTCAAATTCTTTACGGGGGAATCACGTCTCATTTAAGGGTTGGTTCCAAAATGAGCGTGATAGATAAACATTATACACGGTCCAGGTTATTGTAGGAAAAAGTATCTTAGGAAAGTGCCACATTGGAGATGGCATTATTTCACAATGGTCTTATCCTGTCAGTTTGGCTTTCGCCATTAGAACAGATTTCAGTTAAGTACCAGGTAGCCAATGTTAACCAACCCACCCCACCTTATACACAGGAGTTTGGGCTTTAAAGATGGACCCAGCTGGGCACAGTGGCTCACATCTGTTATCCCAGCACATTGAGAGGCCAAGGCAGGAGGATTGCTTGAGGTCAGGAATTTGAAACCAGCTGGGCAACATAGCAAGACCCATTTCTATAAAAAAAAAAAAAAGCACCTTTTTTTTTAATTAGCTGGGCGTGCTGGCACATACCTATAATTCTCTCCACTCAGGAGGCTGAGGTGTGAGGTTTACCTGAGCCCAAGAGTGGGAGGCTGCAGTGAATTATGCTCATACCACTCTAAAAAAGAGAAAAATTCCAGATGGAGCCACGCTCCTGGTGAAGTGTTTAGACCCTGAGAGGCGCTCCCAGGAGCTGAGGCAGCCTTGGGGATGGCAGGTCTGTTCCATGCCTGCTCACTCCAGAAATAGGCTCCTGGAGGGAACGTCTCTACCTTATTTAAATCGCTATTTCTAGTTCTTTCTCTCTCCGAATCTTATTAGGCGAAGTGCAGAGAGTCAAATGGGTATATAATGGGACTCTGAGGTTCTTGTATTTCTTTTTTGTCTGTAAGAAAATTGAGGCATAATTTGCGTAGAGTGAAATGCACAAACCTTGAGTGCACAGTTCAGTAGCTTACACACACGTGCACACACACACACACACACACACACACGTCCTTCTCCACCAGCCGCATCAGAATGGGTGTGTTTCTAGCTCCCCAGCACATTGGTCAGCAGCGCTCCCCTCCACGCTAAGTAACCAGCATTCCCGCCTGTCTTTGAACTTCATGTTGGTAGAATCGTGTAGCATTTGCTCTCTTGGCTTCAGCGGGTGAACCGCGCTTATTCATCATGTGTGAGATTCTCCTGTGTTGTTGTGTGTGCCAGGTGACCCCCGTAATCTGCGCACACGGTATCACACTTTGTTTATTTGTCCTCCCATTGGTGGGTAGGTTGGGCTAGGATGAATAAAACTGCTGAGAACATTCTTGGGCAAGTCCTCCACCCTGCTTGGCCCTATGAACGTTTGCACTCAATTCTCTGCACCCAGTCCTTACCACCAACGGAGCTGGGGGAGGGACAGAGTTTACACCAGAATTCCTTGCTCTCTCACATCCCCTGCCCCGACCCATCTCTTCAAGTTCTCCCCACCCCCAAAT